GTACGAACAAAAGTAAGAGAAATTTAGGATAAGAATTCGAACATGTTCTTGCATGAGGCCCATTGTTTTAGAAGGCCCTGAACAGTTTGTTGGTCACGTGGTTGCAAGACATTTATTTCTCTCACACCTCTATCGTAGTCCACCTAGGTGGTTTTATGTCTGGAATATATGTCAGTATCTGAGAGTCGTATAAATGGACATACTGTACTTTCTGAATGACGTGGGACAATTGCTCCTCAAAATTGTCAGTGTTGTTTGATGGTACCACAGTCAGCTTCAGGAAATGGAGTAGTCGAAGCAAAATGCTGCCATTGCTGTCTGAGCGCTTTTGGGTGTATTTGTTGATGCTGAAAATGACAAAAGTACTGTGTGCTTCAGACAAAGCAAACGGTACATTTGGGGGCAAAAACATGGCGCAGGGACGAGACAACACCTCTTACAGGCCTCACCTGCGACAGTGTTGAAGTCATTTTTCTGTGTGGATGAAAACATTTCTAGAAACTCTCCCGCGTTTACAAGGATTTCTTTAGAAACAGCAAAGAGAGGTTTATCCTAACAATCTCTCACAGTTATTTGTAACAGGAAAAAACAAACAAACTATCAGACAATAGACATCTGTTTCACAATAGAAGTTAAAATATTTGTAAGATCCTTTTAAAATTGATTGATTTTGTCTTGTTTTTTGCAGAAACATTCAAAACCTTGGACACGGATAAAGACGGGGAAATCTGCCTGAACTTCTTCCAGGTACAGCTGCACACTGTTATTTAAAATGTGTATACTTAAAGTACTTCTATTTGTTTGCCTCTTGTTATCGTGTTCAGTGATCTGATATGTTAACGCACATCATCTGCTTTTTGTCCTGCAGTGGATTACTCTGACCATGTTTGCCTAAAGATCCTGCTGCAGCCGCGGGCCCAGTCTTTGCTGTTTCAGAAGTGCCTTCTCTCTGTTAAGTCTCCTCACCCATGATGCTCTCTGCTGAAGCCTTGCCATGTTTGTTTCATCATTCCAGTGCCTGTATTGGAAATGTTTTACCAGCTTTTATTTGCGGCTTGTTCTGCCAAATGAACTTGTAACCGTTCACTTTCTGCAAAAATGTATCTGACGGCAGAGCGACTAACCGGGCAGGAAGGAATGGATGGGTTTGGTCTCGGAGAGCYGAGACAAAAGTTTAAATGTTTTTCCAAAACTTGTCAGGTCTTGCAGACTGTAAGAAAGAGAAAAAGAAAAAAAACCCCGAATATTTTCACAACAAAGATTTTATGACTCTAGTAAATTTGTAGTTGAATAAAGATTGCATCTACCAGGCCAAAAATATCCAAATCTAGTTGGATTAAAAGGAACTTAAGAATGAATTAACTTATTTTTAAATGCAGGATTTAGTCTGTTCCTATTTTATTTGCTGATTTGGTAACACTAAAGGTTTTCTACATTTGCACTGTTTTTTTTTCCTGACTCAAGCCTTCACTTATTTTTCTTTAGTTCTCACTTACACTTAAGAGTTTAGCTCAGTAGTCAGTACTTTTTTTCCTCTGAACACTTCAGCATCACGCACTGGAAAAAAATTAATGGTTGAGAGAATCTATGGTGCATCGTTACCATTTGTTTACATGTTAGCTTTGCAAAGCACCTACTTGGCCTGATATGGTCTTAATTTATACAAGTCCGAGTTAACAGGAATGTAGTCAAAATAACTGGGCATTACTTAAAATTGTCACTTCAAGGAGTTATTTTACAAAACCTTCTTTTTTAATTATCCAGGGTGTATAAATAAAGTTGCACTTAAATCATTACTTAATGTTGCCACAAAGAAGCAAAAATCTAGGACGTCTCAAATATTCAGTGATCTGACAGTCACATTTATTGCCATTTTCAGAATTCTCCTGAAACAAGAAATCATGTTAGTCGCAAGTGTCTTGTTTGTTCAGATCAGCCACGTAGCTATGTAGCATAATTAAAACTTCAAAAGTTGTCTTTGCCGAATTTCCCTAAACTGCAGTTATTCTTGTTTCAACTCCAAGCACTGGATATTTGCTGGGTATGGAAAGGTGATTTCTGAGGAGAGGGTCTGTCAAATAGTTGATTGGTAGTTGGTATCCTATCGGCCATGYCTTTAGTCAAATAAGAGCACAGGGTATGGAGAAAAGGGCAAAATATTTCATCCAGGTTATTTCAGCCAAACAAGACCCCCGTTTATATCACTTTACTTWGAGGAATGTCATGTCTCAAAATTTATTTAACTTCTTGTGGACTGATACTATTACCAGAACARTGTTTGAGAAAATAACAGCAAAGTAAAGAAAACGTAGATGTTTATTATAAGCTAATGTATTGTTCCTTCACACCTGTATGCCATTTTCTRAAGAGTTGTTGATCAGCCATACGCTCTGATCTGTACTGTTACCACTCAAACCCTTTGACAACCATCACTTCAAAAATCACCAGACTCATTTTAAAGTGACAGTCCAGATTCTTTGTAGTGGAAAGCATCAGTGGAAAGCAGTTAGAGCAATATGAGCTTAGAAAATCAGAGCAATATTGTCATGGAGTTGAGGTATTGACTTAGACAGATGTTTGACTCCATGAGAATTTGACCTTGATTTACTCCCGACCACTCAACTTYGCAAAACTGCTGTTTATAGAAACAACTTTTTTGGACTTTGGTTTTTGAAGTCTGCACCAACCCTGTATAACGAAACAGAAAGAGGGTGCAAAATCTTAAAACCATATTTTATCCATAATGTTCAACAAATATTCGAAACTTTTCGTCTTGTGTTCGTTGCAACACTGCTCCTGGTCCTGCTGTTTGATGTTTACAACTTGTGGCCAAACTTTGCATCCATGAAACCTTACTGGGCCCAGCAGTTTCTGCAAACACAATGGTGCACTGTATCATAAAGAATGTTCTGACTTCTATGTATCTATCCTTTTCTTTAGCTTTATATATCAATGGCTTATTAATTATGCATGGCATACAGGACTGTTCTACAATGTATGGGAAAACTYTACCTTTTAAAAAGATGTTTATCATGGCTGGATTTTATACTTGAGGATTATTTGTGAATGTTCAGGGTGAATGTGAACTATTCTGCAAAATGAATGGCTATGTTGTGTGCACGCTGTGTAAAATGTCTCTACCTGCCAAATTTTTGCATTTTTGAGGGGAGTGGGGGACTTTTTTTAGCGTTAAAGTACGAAGCTTTTATTTTTTTCAACTTTTTTGTATTTTGGTATGTTTTATCAGAGTTAAAAACCAAACTTTTAAATCTGTATCGTGCTCTGACTTTTTTCTTTTCCTTGTGCCGTGTAATGATTATGTAATGTTTACAGGGGTAATGCACTGGGTCCCTTTGAACCCATTGATCACGCCACATGTTGGGTTACAGTGTAACTTTATCTGTAAAACATCTGTCAAAACTTCATAATAAATCTGGAGGAACTTTTGAGCTTTTGAATTTGTTTTTTATTAAAGTGTAAAATTTAGATGTAAAGTTTGAAATTATGTTTTTTTTATATCTAAATATAAATACGTTTATAAAGGGTCATGAAATTCATGATGGGGGGGCAACTATCTTAAATTATTAAAGACTAACCCAAAATCAACATCTGTTTTGTAAATGTCTAAATGATGCATCAAGGGTAGTATCTTTATATTTCTGTGCAAATTTTGACATTTTTGTGTAAATTTGTTGAATTCTGCAACATTTTTTCTAAAACCATCTTGCTGCCACCCTCTGTGGGTTGAATGGTGGCTACTGCAGTTGAATTTTCCTATTTGTTAAATTGGTACAACTTGGCACATGCTTACATCACAGCTCTAGTTTCGGGTTTAAAAGCCTCTCAGTCAGACTGCTTTAAACATTAGCCCATGTTAGTGATGCCGCTAATGTCATTTTAAAACTCATAAGCTGGACCCATTCTGTCCTGCATTGTCTTGGCAGCACTGGCTTTAGATATCGCTGAGTCAGCACCGTGAGCCAGCGGCTCACAGGCTCCCAGAGCCCCCGGTGACGAGCGGGATGGTTAATCTCCGTGTTTCAAAGAAACTGTATGGTTTCCGGCATGCATTAGTTCAGAAACAAGCCCAGCAAAGAGGGAGAAAAGGAGCCATGGAGCAGAACTCAGCTGGGCTTGAAGCACGTTGCAATGCGTGGACATCTGCCTTGTATCAAAAAACAAATTGAACTTGAACTTTGTGGTTCAGTAAAGTTGCTATTTTGCATRTTCGTCAATATTCTCTTGGTAATAAATCTGTTTAATCCTGTGACCTAGGTGGTCCGTTCATTATTATTACTGAGAAGCTCGGCACAACAGTTTTTTTTTTTCACGTTGGTCTCCGTGGCGGTGTGGGTGTGGCAAATAGCCTCGTGTGTCTTCTGAATGGTCTGAGGGGGACAGAACGCATCTTTCCCAAACTGAGCTGTATTGTGAATTTCAAATGAACCCTTAAAATGGAAAAATATTCTGTGCTGTTTCCGACCAAAGTCAAATTTTACATAGTTTGCTGAAAGTTTGCATGTATGTCGTGAAACTACTTTTTACAAAAACTTAGAACATTCAGAAATATTAAAAAAAAAAGTTAGCTTGTCAAATTAAGCTAGCTGTCATGTTCCCTCGTTCTGACCACACCTCCCTCATTCCCTCACTTTAGACCATGCCCCCAGTGTCTCTTGGCACCGCCCACTTTGTTGTAATTTTTCTAAATTTGCCTGAGTGCAGGGTTATGCTTTTACTTTAAGTCAAGCTTGGAAAAATTTTTTTTCCATGTCCAAATATGTTTTTTTTTAATTGTTAAAATGACATCAAATACACTTTAAATCAGTGGTTCCCAAAGTTGGGGTTGTGACGCAATTGTGGGTATAAATAWTACAAAAACACACAAAATAACCGCAAAATAATAAAAATAATATTGCAGTAAAAGCTGTTTATATTGTCAATAAGTCCTTGTTAATTAGGGTTGTTGACGATGTGTACTCAGAGACCAGTAATATTTTGGGGTCACACACCTCTGCCATGGATTTTTTGTTTGGGATAACTACTTTAAATAACCACAATAACAKCTGAATTTACTGTTTTAATGTATTTTAATAAATAGCACTTTTAGTGACAAGACTCATAAAAACAAGCATTAAATACATAGTAATGTACACATTTCAACAGCTTAGTTACATTAAGATCCTTACAGCAGATTGTTGATTATTGTTAAGTTAAATTGCAAACATCTTTACAAGTTGGATCACATAAGTTAGAACAAATACACCATATTTATAAAAACAATACAAAAAAAACTAAGAAGTGACTTGTAGTGGAGCCACTCATTAGATTATGTGTCCTARGGGGCACAAAGAGGTTATTGTTGAATTCTGTGTACAACAGATTCAGAATGGCTTCATTTTAAACCAGGGAGGGTTTTCTTAAAGGTATTACCTGTGAGCCAGTACAAGTGTTGTAGACGAATTCCCTAAGGCGTGTCTTCTTAGATGTAGTTGTTGTTGGACTCAATCCGGGTCACCACGGTGGAAACAAGCCGTTCTAGCTGCTCCGCTCGTTGCTTGCTCGTCTGAAGGACGTCCTCATGGTTGGCCTTCTCTTGGCTGTCGTAGTCCGTCACCACCAGGTTGGTGATGAGCGAGAGGGCGAAGACACGCAGGCCACAGTGACGGGCGACAATCACCTCGTGGGCTGTGCTCATGCCTAATAACCAAGAAATAAAATTTAGGAACACATCTGAAACAAAGGACTAAGGGCAGCTGTGGCTACAATGTAACTTACTACAATCAGTGTGTAAATGAATGGATAAATGATTGAAGTGTAATGCGCTTTGGAGTTCATAGGGACTTGATAAATCACTAAATCAGTTCAAGCAATTTACCATTTCAGTCGGTTTCAGATGAGTGAGTTCTGATGTTTAGAACAATAAAGCTAATGCTAATTTGCTGCTGAAGTTTTGGCAGAWGTTGCATATTTACAATGTGCTTATGGATATTTATAAAAGTTCAACCTAACCCTACCAAATACTACATTTTTATATATTTTACGGCTGACAAAGTACAGTAGTTCCGATCTTTTTAAAAAATTAAGAAAATTTACCTTGTTGTAGGTAACCCTCGAATGACCTCAATWTTGAGAAATAGTGTTTAATTTTGATCACACTGATGAGCTAATGGCTAGTCAGAACAGTGTCAGGACCAATGCTTCACACCATTCCAGTCTCCAAAGTTCCATAGTGTTTCAGTCTTTACACCTTCATCAGTTTTACACTACATGAATATTGTAGCGGCCAGTCATAGTACCAGAAGTGCCACATGTTGCTCAAGAAGAGCTACAGCTAGCTGCTGATGTTCCCYTTTGTGCTTCCAAATAACCAAAAACTCTACATAAATAACCAGTAAAAACTGGCACTAG